AATTCGGGTATAGTAAAAAAAAAAAAAAAAAAAAAAATCATGGAGTCTGTAGCGATAAGATATATGTAGATAAATGAAGCGAAAATGCAAAGTCATGAACCATTAAGAGAGGCATGCGCACTGCTTACAGATTACTCAACTAACATGGCTGAAGAATTTCAACTATGTGGGGTGTTGACACGTCATTCCAAGTGGCCAAAGCTGCTGGGTTTACTTATCGAGTGACCATTTCTAAGCTGGTTGCGAACAAAAATTAAGGAACCTACTCTGCCCAGCTTTTTAATCCATACCTGATGAAGGTGGGAGAAGAGACGGATTCATGACTTTTCCGAAGTTATTAGTACAAAAGTGAACAGAACGTACACTGTCTGAATTCGAACTCAGCTCGACGATTTTCTTTCTTTCTACGCCGCTAACTGTTACACCTCCCGCACATCCATACTAATGTTAAAATAATTGTGAACGCAGTTATTTTGAGGGAAGGAAACAGTTCAATTTCTGTTTTTGAATCTTTCATATCAAAAACAAGCGTATTCAAATGACAGGAAGTAGCATATTTCCAAATGACTAATTTCCCGTCTAAGATTTGGTTTCTTTCACATAAGTTTACTTTTATAACTACGAATTTGTGCGCTAAAATTGACGTTACCGATGCTTTTCTTTTACTTATTCAGTTACTACAGACATTCGAATTGCTCTTCCTTCCTTCCTTCCTTCCTTCCTTCCTTCCTTCCTTCCTTCCTCTGGATTCCTTCCTTCCTTCCTTCCTTCCTTCCTTCCTCTGGATTCTTGGCTTTGCTTGATGCATTTTGTCACTGCTATTATATATATATATATATATATATATATATATATATATATATATATATATATATATATTAAAAGACATTTTATGTTTAACATTCTTTTTATAGATACAAGTATTTTAAGTAAATGCTCTGTTTATAATAAACAGTATTAAATAACATTTACCGGCCTGAATGTCCGAGAAAATAATTATTAATTATTATTAATTATTTAATACTGTTTATTATAAACAGAGTATTTATTAAATACTTGTATATATAAAAAGAATATTAAACATAAAATGTCATTAATAAATTGTCGGACTTTGTCCAATTCTTAATATATATATATATATATATATATATATATATATATATATATATATATATATAATGAAAAGGCTTAAACATTAATATTCCATGGTCATAATTTATTCCATTCCATTCCATATATGTATGTGTGTGTATGTATGTGTGTGTGTGTGTATTTGCGTGGATATGTGGATATATATGTGTATGTGTGTACATGGGTATATGTAGTGATTTTCCAAGCGTAGCAAAGATATGGCACAAGGCCGAAAGTATGGGGCACCCAGTGAGGATCGAACTCACTACTCAGTCGTAATTGTTACATGGGTATATGTATGTGTGTATGCGGGTACACGCCTATGTGTATGTATATACGTGTATATGTTATTGTGTATGTGTGTATTCGCATGTGTTTTTGAACATAAAAATATAGGTCCTTGCTAGATTAGATAATCGTTATATTTATTTTTTGTATGTTTATATTTGATTTGTAACCTGTAGTCGATATTAATTTTGTCAAATTTTCTCAATTACTCAGCGGCCCTTTCAGTAAATGTCCTTCAGTTTTAGTTTCCCCCGCCTCATCTCTCTCTCCCACCTCTTCTTTCCTTTCCTCTCCATCGCTCTTATTCTGATCTTTAACATTAGATCGTCTATGGTGTGTGTATGTAACCACGAAATGTATCTTTAATGTATTAGACATCCGACAACATTCATATTTCCCCCTTCCACTCACCTCTATAAAACTCCTCTCTGTTAAGTTTTACTCTCCCACCTTCTCTCGTCTGTTACCCCTCTCTTTAGCACTAACATTCGTCTCACACTCTCATACTTACACTCTCTCTAAATTCTATTTTTATTTCCGGAGTTGTTTTTTTCTGTTTTCTTTTTGAATTTGTAGGTCTGTTGAATTGGATCGTATTTACGTGACGACTACGTGATCATATTTAAACAGAACGCTGATCTGTATAAAATTTCAGTTATCTGTCTGAATTAGTTGGGCTCTTATGTCCATCGTCTTTTGTGTTAAATTGTTATAAGTTATAATGTTAATTATGTTTAAATGAAAATGTCCATGAAGATGGTCTTAAATAGACCGAAACGTCCGACGTCGACTTTATTTTAACATTAATAATGCATATTCAGAATTTTGTTTTTTTCAGTATTTTTCTTTCATATATATATATATATATATGGAATAAATTCCAATAACCAAAACATACTATTCTTAAAAAGTGCTCAATACAGAGTAGAGCAAATATAATTATTTATTCGAAAATTATAACATAAATATGTTATAAAATCACTAAAAAAAAATAGCCATTTTGTTTCAACACTTCTGGTGTCTTATCAAATGATGGTGTTGAATGTAGAATAAAGGGTTTTCAAAGGTTCAAATCGATCAAACATCCCTCGCTAGGGGAAACACTGTTACATAAGCTGAAATGACCAATCAAAATACAAGTATATGAGAATTCAAAAAATTTGGCAACGAACCTTGGTTATAATAATTAATGCTTTAATGTTAGGGTTAGACTAAAATACAAATCATTCTAATTAATATTAAATTTTACTTTAAAATTCAAAATTCAAAATTACCAATTTTTAAATTTTAAATTTAATCTGTATTAAGTTTAGAAAATTATAAAATTATTTAAAGGCGGAAAAAATACATATGTTTTGTTATTTATTTTGTTTTTTGAAAGGCCAAAAATTCAGTTAGAATAAACGTTAAAATCTAATGTTGCTCTGAGCTTCGTTACGACTTAGATACGTTTGAGGTGATAGTATGGGCAGGGGAGATGAAATCTTGCAATATCGGTGGATATATTTGTTTCATGTCTGTATAACCACTCTGAAGATGGAAATTAAAAAATTGTATAAAATACAGGATGTCCCCAAAGTCATTAGACAAATAGAAAAATTTATTGAAATTACAACAAAAGCTGAATATTGTTGAAATGTTTGTATAATATGAAAAAAATATTGAAGTTTATATACAAATACTTAATACATTTCTATATGTGCCCCGTTCGTTGCACGAAGGGCATCTAGTCAATATTCAATTTCTGTCTATGGCATTCTAGGGTTTCTATTTGTTGCTCTCTCTCTCTCTCTCTCTCTATATATATATATATATATATATATATATATATATATATATATAGAGAGAGAGAGAGAGAGAGAAAGAGAGAGAGAGCAACAAATAGAGACCCACATGCAAAACAATATATATATATATACCTATGGCATACATGAACATCTATGCTGGACAGATGAAGAGATATACGTTTAATTATTTTTTTTTTCAGTATTCTTATGTTTCACTCTTGACTGTTCAGCCATGCTATTGTTCAGGAAAGAATGCGATCATTTATCAAACTTATACTTTGAGAAACTTTTGCAACAAATGCCAAACATTTGTGCTGCAGTAATCAAGGCTAAAGGAGGATATTTTGATGTGAGCAAAATTTAATCATAAAATGCTTTTTTTCTTTTTGTCATAATAAAATTTCTAATAAAAAAATCATGTCTCATTTTTTTTAACCATGTATCATAATTTTCTCTTATTTAAAGTACAAAACAATTTCTTTTTGGGCCAGCTATATATATATATATATATATATATATATATATATATATATATATATATATATATATATATATATAAAAAGAAGAGAAGGTGCCGCAAACGTTTTTTTTTGTAATGTGGATTTATTTAGAAAAAATATTATGCTTTGTTTTACATAATTTTACTACGACACGTATTTCTGGTCTCCCGACCGTCTTCAGGTAAAAGTGACAATTCTAGAAAGAAAATTCGGATTGCCAACACACAAACAGAGAATGTCTCATATCGAGAACATTTCACATTGAACATGAAGAAAAATTAATTATTTTTAATAATATGTAGAAATCTCCACTTTTACCTGAAGACGGTCGAGAGACCAGAAACACGTGTCGTAGTAAAATTATGTAAAACAAAGCATAATATTTTTTCTAAATAAATCCACATTACAACAAAAAACGTTTGCGGCACCTCTCTTCTTTTTAATATACATACTTTTCTCTCGTTGGAACCACTACAACATATTTCTTTTATATATATATATATATATATATATATACAAAGAGAGAGAAAGAGAGAGCAACAAATAGAGACCCAAACACACAAAACAATATATATATATATATCTATGACATACATGAACATCTATACTGGACAGATGAAGAGATATACGTTTAATTATTTTTTTTTTCAGTATTCTAATGTTTCACTCTTGACTGTTCAGCCATACTATTTTTCAGGACATTTTTTCACATTAAAAAAATTAAATCATAAATACCTATTCACCTTATTTCCAGTCCTTCTGTCTTATACAGGATGTCCACAAAGTCATTAGACAAATAGAAAAATTTATTAAAATCACAACAAAAGCTGAATATTATTGAAATGTTTGTATAATATGAAGAAAATAGTGAAGTTTATATACAAATAGTTAATAAATTTCTATGTGGGCTCCATTCGTTGCATGAAGGACATCCAGTCGATATTCAACTTCTGTCTATGCCATTCTTAATATATACTACAGTTCAAAAGTTTGAAGCCACCCCTAGAATTAGAATGAGATGAACTTGACAGAAGAGTGAAAAAAAAAAAGAAAAAGTGCTCTTAGAGTCATTAAATAAAGAATTGAATCAATTATCAAATTTATAATTTAAGAAACTTTTGCAATGAATGCTAAAAATTTGTGCTGCACTAATGAAGGGTAAAGGAGAATATTTTGATGGGAGCAAAATTTAATCATAAAATGCTTTTTTTTTTCTTTTTGTCATAATATTTCTAATAAAAAATAATTGATAAATTTCTATCTGGGCCCCAGTCGTTGCACGAAAGACGTCTAATCAATTCCTGTCCATGTCTGAAACATAAAAACAACATTAATTATGGTGTGAAACATAAAAACACAACATTATCAAAACTATTAATATCCTTAAAAAAAACCTTTAATCTGCAATAAAATTTAGTTGCTACCTCCTTTGTTAATGACTTTTTGTAATCGTCTAAGGAATTTATGGAGACCATGTTAAACTTTTTTTACATATTTTCTACTTCTAAAATTAACATTTACCGAGAATTAATCTTTCATATGTTAAGCTATTGTTTAACCCATTCGAATTAATTTATTCCAAATTTAATCCATTCTATAATGCATTCATTTCCTCACTTTTAATTGTCACCCTTCTTTCTAACTTCTTCCTTACAAATGGGATATAAAGGGATTAAGGATAAATCGACTTAGTGTACGTGACCTGATGGGTCGTAGCTCTGTGACGGTTTGAATAAGTTACGCGTAGAAATAGAAAGAGATTTAGTAACTCTATGGAGATTATTCCTGATTTTCTTTTTTCTTATCTGTTTCAGATTTTGGCAAAATTCTCCCGAAGAGGTCATCCCCCTCGCACCAAATCGGGGCGGATCTGTGTACCACGACCAACAGTCCCGGACCTGGCTTAGCGTGCATACCTGAATCCTTACGGTGACCATCGACTCCATCTCAACATGTTTTCACTTAACGCAGCTTGTCGCATGGGCAGGTTCTATTGTAATGGTCATGTGAAACTTATCCTTCTGATTGCAATAATCGCAGTTGGTCTTTACTTTCTCCTGTGAATGTCTCAAGGGTCAATCGCCAGTGCACTTGAGACAAAAAAATATGATGAAGCCAGAAAGTGATCAATATGGATTCCGACCTATGAGAAAGGTCTTGCAAAATCATGTTTTAACTTAAGCTCATTGGATGTAATTTTTGTGGTGTTCCTTTTTCTTTTCTTTTCCTGTTCGCAAATAGACGAAATAAATGGATACTTTATTAAGGGTACAAAAATTTAATAACGGCAATAAAAACGGACATATTAAAAATCAAACAAGAAAGAATAACAATAAAATTGTATAATCGCCGTAAAACTTAAATCGAAAAACAAAAAAAGAGGCAAAAAAATATGAAAAGGCGTAACCGGTTTTCATCCCTCCATTTTGTTAGAGCTCTATCGAGGACTTAAAAAAATGTGAACAGCGAATAAATTCGGAAAATGAGCATGAGCAAAACAAGAAAACACCAGAAGACAAGATGTTGTATATATTAAATCCATAACCATCAAAGGCTGATAATATTCATGTCTAAACCTTTTCTGTTTACAGAGGTACAGTTGGAAGGTTTGAACCTTCCACAGTGTCAAGAATATACTTTTTCTTTTTCTTTTTTTTTTTCTTTTTTTGCTATAGGACCGGTCACACTGACGGTTTTGTAACAAATGCTCAGCTATCGCAGATCCAGATGTATTGACGCGCTTATGTAAATTATTGCAATTTTCTTTCTATATTTTGGCTGGTGCATGTTGATTCATTCTTAATTTCAAACCCCGACCCGTTCTACGTATATAGTCATCGTCAAACTTGCATTTAAAATGGTAGATTACAGAAATAACACGGTGAGCATCTTTGCGGGTTGGGGTTAGCATTCCTTTATTAAAAGTATTTGCCTATATGCAGATTTATTTGCTAAGAGCCTAAAACATTTGTAAACTACGAGAGTTGATGAAGAAGACGCCTTAAATTGTAATCTTAGTCTTTAATTACGATTTCTGGAGGCGACTTTGTGGTCTTTCCAATAATTGAACAAACCTCTAGATAAACTCATACACGAAGTTATATCAATAGATCTGGAACCTAACTTAATTAGTAAAGGTATTTTGATCTGAAATGTTTACTGTATTATGATCGTTCTATGTGGTTGATATTCAGTAACGAATTAAGTGCATTGACAAAGAAGGAGATTATGTCAAACGACATAATTGTGTAAAATAGGTCATTTCTCATCATTATGCTACTGACTCAATGATTTATTTACATATAAATATATATATATAGGGATATGTGTGTAATATGTTTGTGTTGATGGTATGTGAAAGACTTTCGCAAACCATTTGCCATCTGATAGATAGATAGATAGATAGATAGATAGATAGATAGATAGATAGATAGATAGATAGAAGACAAGAACAGAATGATAGATAAACAAGAACAGATTGAGATAGATAGATAGATAGATAGATAGATAGATAGATAGATAGATAGATAGATAGATAGATATGAATTACCTGAGATAGATAATGAATTACCTGAAATAGATAGATAGATAGATAGATAGAAGATAGATAGATAGATAGATAGATAGATAGATAGATAGATAGATATGAATGTTCGGATTTTTTCTTCCATAAATTGAAAAGAAACTGCAAATATGTATAAACTTTCAATAAAAAAAAGAATTCAGCCAGGACCAAATTACAAGTAAATATTTCTTTTCTCGGGTTAATACCACCGTTACCTGTTGTTGTCTCAAAGAGAAAACGCCTAAAATTTCATTATTTTAATCCAACGTCTCATTTATATTTTCAAAACCACACAATTTCCTTTGACGTCATACAATTATAATCTCCATCACCCACTTTTGTGTACTCTATTTATTTACAATAAAGTTCAACCTGTACAAGGCTCGGAGCCAATCGAGATAGAGCGTTACATTAAGGGGTAGTTTATATGGATAAATTAATTCTAGACTTGAACAGGTTAAGATTGTATCGATCCGGGAAACATCCTCTTAAGAGTCTGTTCGACAGAGCAGGGGTTCGAGAAAAGCTGTTTGAGTCGAACTTACTTCTCACCAGTGGAATATACTGGGAATGTGCGTTGTTTTGCTACTATGTAAATGGCATGGTGGGTCCTAGCCGTGAAGGTCCGACCTGGCGGAACCAGAAAATATAGTTCGTGGAAGTAGTGAGAGACTCATTACATACTGCCTGTGTGTGTGTGTGTGTGTTTGTGAGAGAGAGAGTGAGAGAGAGGGGGAGCGGGAGAGAGAAAGAGGGAAAGAGAGAGAGAGAGAAAGAGAGAGAAAGAGAAAGAAAGTTTGGAGTGTGGAAAATAATTCTTCTCCAACATGGACTTCCACAACACAACAGGTTTGTTTTGCTGAAGTCTAAAGGTTTCTTTAGCAATGAAAATCGCCATTCTAGATCTAAATCTATGTCGTTATTTTCCGTTATCTTTTTAATAGTCTGCGTTTTTGGTACATTTTTCTTTAACCCTGGGATGGAACCGGTTTCCCTGCCACATTGCGCTTTCTTCTTATGTAAAAACCCAATGAGGTTCCACTCCTGCTACCGGGTTGGCATCGTTTGATACAATACATTTATTAATACTAAATAGGAAAAAAAATACTGATGTCTTATCAAAACTGTCGAAAGCCTTAACTGTAAAGCTTAGATCTAATGTTATAAAATTTACGTCCAAATATCTACGGTCCACAGGCTACTTATCTGTAGAAAGACACATGTTAAAAACATTTGGTTATTTTTTGTGAAGAATAACGCAAAAGAAAAAGAGAAGAAAAAAGAAATGAACTTTAAAAATGTGTTTATAATAGAAATATCAGTACGTGTTATCGCTGAAAGAAAAACATAGTCATATTGGTTAGAACTTATTTAAATATCCGTTATATGCATAAAGTATTTGAGAGAAGATTTATGTTAACAGAAAAAAAAAACACATAATAACAGATAATAACTTTATTATTGAAAAATGCCATAAGAACAAAAATACATTACCTTTTTTTATAATTTTATAGAATTCAGCTTCAATAAATGCTTCTAAGCGAGATCGAAACCGCCTACAAGCTTGAATTAAATGAAGAACCAGGTTCATATTGGACATTACTCTGACTATGGCGGCTTTCAAAGAATATTTGTATATGGGGGGTGATGTTCATTGACCTTATTATCAACAACGCTCCACATGTAGTAGTCAAATAAATTGAGATCTGAGGAGTTAGGGGGCCAAATGTTAGGAGTTCTGTGATCATGAAAATATTCAATCATCCATTCCTGATTTATTTGTGTATTGTGTAATGGTGAAGAGTCTTGCTGAAGCACATAAGGACTTCCACTATATACACTATCCAGGGCTTAACAACTGTTTCTAGGCCCTCAATGTAGGCGGCAGAGTTAACTCTAAGGCCTTCTGGAAAGAAGTCAGAAGGCATCACATTGCTGACAACCTCTAAAACTGTTATGATGTTGATTTGGGGTTAGTAGAGACAAACGCCAAATAACACGTAACAATAAAAAGGGTTTTAATAGGTTGGTAAAAAAGGTACAGAAATCGCCTGAGTAGTCAATAACTAGCTCAGCTAAGAACTGCTCCGTCTCTCTGTCTTCTGACATGCCGCTATTTAACGTCTTTGTTCGCAGACAAGTTCATCTTCAAGAGGGGTGGTAGGTTTCCGACACAACAAAAACCATGACAGTTGCAGGAAATTTTGTGTGCATAACCACTGGAATTTCAGAAGGGTTTGCATATAACCATCTGTCATTTTTTCCTGTTAAAATTCTGATCTTAGTCAAAGTTATTCCCGTCTGAATAAAGCCAATTCACATCATCTTCTGTTGGATTTTAAAGTTTCTTTAAGAGCCTTTTAGATCTGATTACGCAATTTTCTTTTGTTTTTTTTTTTCCTAACATAAATCGACCTTTCCTCATCACATAAGACTGATGTCTCCGTAGACTAACTGTTCCTTCTTACACATGGAAATCTTTTTGCCAGTGACGTCATGAATTTTCTTGGATTATCGTCAGTGGTCTGCTGAGCATGCAGGATAAATTCAGGTGTCCTGATTATGTCAGGGCGTTTGGAATTCTTTTTACGCTTTCATACTGGGGCATGTCTCCATCTTCAGTTTATAACTCCTTACGAACGTTGTAGGCGAAAGATCTGGCTACTTTTAAAAAATCAAAATATCTCTAAATCGTTATAAATTAAAACCACAATTACTGCATGCCTTTACATTTCTTCAGTGAGCTGAGTGTTGCCATAATTATTTTCTAAAAAAAATACAAACAAATGATACAGAGATACATGATATAAAATGCAGCAATAAACAAAATAAGGTATTCCTCAACTACCTAACGCACCTTGCGTTTTCTTTATTGAAAACAAATACAGTTTAGGATTATAAGAAAGGGGGTGTAAATACACTGAAATAGATAGATAGATAGATAGATAGATAGATAGATAGATAGATAGATAGATAGATAGATAGATAGATAGATAGATAATTAAAATACTTAGAAAGAAAGAATGACGTATATATATATATATAGATAGATAATTAAAATACTTAGAAAGAAAGAAAGAATGACCTAATATATATATACATAGATAGATGAATAATTAAAATACTTAGAAAGAAATAAAAAGAAAGAAAGAAAAGAATGACGTATATATATATATATATATATATATATATATATATATATATATATATATACATAGATAGATAGATAATTAGAATACTTAGAAAGAAAGAAAGAATGACGTAAATATATATATATATATATATATATATATATATATATATATAGATAGATAGATAGATAGATAGATAGATAGATAGATAGATAGATAATTAAAATACTTAGAAAGAAAGAAATAAAGAAAGAAAGAAAGAAAGAAAGAAAAAATAAAAAATACGTAAATATATATATACGTAGATAGATAGATAGATAGATAGATAGATAGATAGATAGATTAAAATACTTAGAAAAAAGAAAGAAAGAAAGAAAGAAAGATAGAAAGAAAGAAAGAAAGAAAGAAAGAAAAACGTAAATATATATATATAGGTAGATAGATAATTAATATACTTAGAAAGAAAGAAAGAAAGAAAGACAGACAGACAGACGTAAATATATGCATACGCAGATAGATAGATAGATAGATAGATAGATAGATAGTCAGTCATACTGATTAAAAATTATTTAAATATTAGTTATATTTTCTTTATTGAAATTAAATACACTTTAGAATTATAAGATTTCTCTGTGTCACCTTTAGGCAAAGAGATTTCAGAACTTTCGACCATTTTTCTCAGAGTCTTCAAAGAATCTTTTATCATGGACAGAAAATATATTTTCACCAAATTAATCATAAAATCTTGGTTATCTATCTTCTTTATCGAAAACTGAAAGACGTGAACAACAAATAAAATAGAAAAAACACCAGAACATAGACTGTTTTATATATTAAATATATAATCATCAAAGCTAACAACATTCAAGCGTAAACGCTACTTTTTCTGTTTAAAGAGGGGTGGAGCCTTCCTTAGAACAGAGAACATGTCGTGGTTATATAACCGTGAACACTGATGCTTTTGTATCAAATAATCAGCTATCGCCGATCCATCTGTATTGACGCATCTATGCAAATTATATGGGCACGTGGCCGAGTAGTTAGAACGTTTGCTTTCTGAGACACAAGGGAGGCGATCCCAGCGTACGGTTTGACCCTAGCCTTGTGAGTGAAATTGGATAGATGCAACCCTTGGTAGCTGTCGATGGCTGTGCTAGCACGAATTTACAAGTCATCGTGACCGAGAGCCTGAGCGTGCTGGCCTTGGTCAGACCGTTGATCACGCTAGATAACGCATTCTCTCTCCTAAAAACTGTAATTATTAGTTCCAGTATAAACTACGATGTGGGAGGCTCTGTGGGTGTTGAACAAACACAAATGTGACTAAGCAGAAGACGGGAATCCTTAAATACGAGTGGATACGCCATTTAGATGCAAATTAGGGTAATTTTTTCTCCAAATTTTCGTTACTATATGTTGATTTATTCTTAATTCCAATCCCTGGTTCGTTATAGTCATTTAGTCAGCGTCTTACTGACATTTAAAATTGTAAATTAAAGAATTAATATAATGGGAAGGTAGAGCTTTTTTCTCCAAATTCTTCTTAAAATTGTCTCTTTTCTTTCGTATTAGCATCAGTAAATCCTTATAAGGGATAATGCATTTATTTTACATAATGCCCTTCCTTGTTAATGCGCTTAATCCCTCGCTTCCCCATAGATCAAGCTATTGAAGCCATTTTTAAACTTTGATCTGAGCAAATGTTTGTATATAGCTGATAGTTCAGACATAACTAGTTGGATGTCATGCATTACATCCATCTAAGCTGGGCGCCTAGACGTGGTGTAATGATTAGGAAGCTTGTCTCACTAGAATAATTACTGTGTCGTGAGTTCGATCCTCACTGGGTGCTGCATACTTTCGGCCTTATGCCACATAAAAACCGCGCTTAGAAAATCAACATGACATATATATATGTCTAGATCTGACTATTTTAGAACTGATAGTTCAGACATAACTAGTTGGACGCCATGCATTACATTCAACTAAGCAGGGCGCCTCAGTGTGGTGTAATGGTTAGCAAGCTTGTCTCGTTAGAACAATTACGACTGAGTAGTGAGTTCGAGTCCCACTGGCCGCACTATACTTTCGGCCTTGTGCCACATTAAGACCGCACCTAGAAAATTAGCATGGCGTCCATAAAAGTCTAGATCTGACATGTCTAATAACGTAACGTTAGTTTTCAGGTTGATATTTTCGTTTTGCTGCATCTGACGTTGTAGGACAAAAGTGCTCATAGCACAACCTCCCCCCCCATATTCAATAACCTTTTCTCCTCTATTAAATTTATGACTGATCAATACATCGAGGTATTTGAAGTGTTTAGAATTTATGAATTTCCCATTTTGATGCTCCTTATGTAGATAAGAGCTTACGGACATATCAGATTGAAACATTGGTTATGGTCCAACCACAGAAGTTAAGCAATGTCAAGTCTGGTCAGTATCTAGATTAGTGAAATACCAAGTGCTGTAGGCTTGGGTGTAACAGATATCGGCTAGGAATGATAAACCGGAGAGCCGAGTTCAAATTCCAGTCGAGTTCCTTACATTTACTTACTCGCAAATATTCTTGGGAAAGGTATGAAGCCATCTCTTGTCTCCCCCCAGCTATAGGTTAAATAGCAAGACAGACTTGGTTATATAGCCTTGTTTGGCAACCAGTCTACCGCAGAAAGTAAAGGCAGCCTACTTCGAGAATTCTTCTCCCAAATCAATTATGAATCGAAAAGAGATATGGTCTCCCACGCGAGCATCAAGCATGGCACCTGAGGAAGGGAAAAGAATTGGAAAGAGACCCGATCGCCCAAGCAGCATGCATTACTCAAGGCACCTGCAAAAGAGAAGAGCATCGAAAATAAAGCCAATCACGCATGCGTCCATCACGCATAGTACCTATGATACGAATATATGTATGTATTGATATTCATATATATATATATATATATATATATATATATATATATATATATATATATATATATATATATATATATATATATGATAGCTGATAGCGGCTTGGATTAAGGAATCTGAGACCAGAGTTCGAATTCCAGTTGAATCCATTACATTCACTTGCTAATACCCATGGGAAAGATATCAATCCTCTTCTCGCTATAGCGACGGCAGGACAGACTTGGATGGCAACTGTTCTAGGAGAAGGACATTTCTCAATTCAAAACCTGCGGAGGGTCGTTTGGGGACCCTGTGGCACGTAGGGCACCAGGTCTCTGCATTCGGCCCTTCAAAAAGTGTGGCTGGTTCTGCACAAAACCTTCACCACTATAATCAAATCATATGTACTGGTGTCTGGTCTGTCAGTTCCTAGGAACTGAGCTGTTTGACCCTCATACGTCGAATACGACGGGAGAGTCCATTAAAGTATTTTAAAAAATAATCAGGAGAATTGATTTCATTAGTTTAATAAGATATTGAAATTTCTAGCAATTTTGTTTTATTATACACTAAACACTGGCTGAAAATATTTTAAAGTGAAAGACCTGATTTCGACTATTGAATTTCGTTGCAGATAGGTTTTTTCTCACTTGATAGTTTAGCCTGAAGAACCATTTTTTTCTAAGTTTGAAAGATGAAGCATCCACGTCAACTTGGAAATCCTATCTAGACAATTGTGGACACCCTTGATCGGAGACCGTCAGTGCGGCCCGAGGAAATTTATAACATGCAATGTTTCTTCTGTCAAAACGCGTCATCACATCGGACCCAAATGTTTATTTACCCTGGTCTCCCCACTGAGATGTGTTGTGACACAAGGTCGGAGTTAACGTGGCGGATCCTGAGCACGTACACTCGGGTCAAGAACAAAAATTTCCCAGCTCCCGAAACCGTCGGTTGCGCAGGCATCAGCACGACTATCGATCCTTCCTCTTTAGTGCAATGGGTGGGTGCGACCTCGGGTAGCTGTTCAGCGGGACCCAGCACCTCGCGGTATATATTTTCCTCAGCCGTGTCTCTGTCCGCGGATGGAGCCACAACTGAGTTGTGCGAAAGCAGAGACGCAACTGAGAGATGATTGTAATTGTGATTCGGTTGTAATGATTATGGTTGTTTATATATATATATATATATATATATATATATGTGTGTGTGTGTGTGTGTGTGTGTGTGTGTGTGTGTGTGTGTGTGTGTGTGTCTGGTGAAATCAGCACTCTTTGTCGACATACTGCTCTCAATCGTACCGAAAATGTAACCCTACGATCCGAGTTCAAATTACAGCTCAAACAGTTTCTGTACACGTTGTACGACTACTTTGGGGAAAAATCCATCTCTTCTCGACCAGCTATGGGTTAAAACAACAAAAGATCTAGGGGTGACGCTTGTAATCCCACCCTGTAAAAACCTATTTGCTAAATCTGTTGTGTAAATTGATGCATAGTTAAAAACTGGACTCTGAAATTTAATTCGCTAATTAAATCTTGGCATCTTCAAGTCTAGAATTAGCTATCTATCTTTCCTGTTATTTTGCCCTTTCTTACGCTAATACAAGCTTGTTTAGGGTGAAAATTAGTAAAAAAAATCGTTTGAACACTATACAGTGAAATAATATTCATTTGGACATTATACAGTGAAATACTACACATTTTGAATATTATTCATTGTAAACCTCAAAACTGATTTCCTCTAATAATTTCAAATGTTATAAAAAAGAAAAGCTAAATAAAACTTGAATTTCTCTTTGAATTTCTGCGATTGAGTATTTATTTATATAATCATCTGATAGAATCTTTTCTGCTTTCCATCTGAATGGCTAATGCTAACCTCCATGAAAGTGACTTGGTTTCATCTTTTCTGGCTAACATTGTCGACTGACATGAAGATGGAAAAATTATATTGAATCAATTTATATGTAAGCTGTTAGGAAAGATAGTGCTAGACAAATTTTCATTGCCAGAATCTATCCACTGAGTATGGATCTTTACAACCCAGCCCAGCGATTGAACTCACAATTTTATGTCAACACATTGACGAACCAGTTTTTTGTTTTTTTTTAATATTCTAGGCTTGTTAATCCGAATGTAAATGATTTTTTAGTCGAATTCACCCCATGCAAGGCAGTAAAGTCACTAAGACAGAAGAGGTTAGTGGGTGTGAAAGAATTAGAAAACAAAAACATTATTAAGGAGCGGGAACAATAGAAGAGTAATCAGGAAGACAGTAGATAACGACTGACATTTCATTTAAATTTTTGAAGATGAAAGATGAATAGAAAGTACAGAGCGTTTCACAAGCAAAAAGTGCGAAAGAAGAATCTGTTAGCATAGAACTTGCGGCTACATCAAGCCAATTCAACTGTAAACTGATGAGACCTTGTTGTCAGTCTTGTACTCTTCTTAAATTCAAAAGTCTAGGTACCATAACGAAGAGTTCATCAGAACAATTACCGCGAAAGTATTTATAGAAAAGGCACAAAGAGGCAAACTTATGGCGGTGAGAAAGAAACTGAAGCCGAGGCACCAGAACAGGGCCAATAATATTGCAGATTCCTCTGAGTTTTATCAGGGAGCTCTAGATAAATAGCTGGATCAGTGGACCA